AACGCCCACACCAGATGACTATATAACTGTATCAGCACTTTGAAATGCTAACGGTTCTTTGCAAATTTCTCTCTGGTCTGACGACGACCTGGGGATCCAGTGTCGAAAATTTACTGAATAAACTTGCTCATTTTCCCAAAGGACGCTTTTCCTTGAAATTGTACGCTATTGGGTAAGGAAGAAGGATGGTCGAGCATCGGATCATTTTTTTTATTATTCTGAGCTTTAGAACTCTTACGGGAATCCGCCGTCAGAGATAAGAAACAACGACAAAAGAGGGGCTGGTTTTAGTGTGTGTGCATCGATCAACTGTCAAGGGTCACCAGGTTATGAGGACTAAGAAACCGTGATGAAAAGGTGGGGAGGGGGTGAGGGCAATTAAACGTCAGTGATTTCAACGTTATTCAGGGCGTCACCAACGAAAATGGGCCAATTATAGAGGATGTGGACCCAATTAACTGCGATAGACGTTTGGCCGTGCGCAAGGCCCTGTACGCCCGCACCAATTCGACACACCGTTTTCTTTCCATGCGACTTCGTTATTGGCATCCATACCACCAGATCTGGCGCACGAAATTTTGCCCAAGAGACTTAAGGAAGCATAGGATGAGGCCCGAAGCCCACTCAAAACTGGACATATCATGACGTTATTCGAATTATGCCAAAAACATACGTTACCTTTGTCGGAGAAACCTACGATCAGATCAAAGGTACCCCGATGGGCTCCCCAATCTCTGGTTTAGTGGCGGAACTGGTCCCGCAAGAGCTAGAAAACACCGCCTTCACTCAATACAAGCTTGTTTTTGGCGTCGTTACGTGGACGACACGTTTGGTATCATTAAAATAAGCATGCTGCAAGACTTTCATAACTTGCTCCATGGAATCTTTCCCGACATACAATTCATGCAGGAAGAAGAAAAAGCGCAGCAGCTGCCTTTAATTGATGTCCTCGTCAAGAGAACGCCCAACGAAAAAAAATAGACGACGGTTTACAGAAAGGCAACGAACACAAACGAACTTCTCATTTTTCACAGCAACCATCCACGTGCTCACAAACGGAGCTGTGTAAAAACGCTCTTTAAACAGATTCAGACTCACTGCAGCAGGCCAGAGGCAAAAGTACGCCAGGCCCGATATCTCCGCGACCAACTTATGCGGAGCGGTTATTCAAAAGCATTTATAAACCGATGCCTTCAAGTTCGGCCCTGGAGGACCCAAACAGAAGAACCACCGAGGATATGGCCTACTCTGCCATACATCAAGGGCATCTCGGAAGCGACTGAACGCATCCCTGCGGGACTACGTGTTGGAATTGCACACAGACCCAAAGTTACCATGCGCAGCAAGGGGCTGAAAATAAAAGACCGGCTTACGCCGAATGAACAATCTGGGGCAGTCTATCACATCCCATGTGTAGGCCGTCCTTGTAACTACACAGGCCAAACTGAACGTATGTTCAGATCGCGCATACATACACACAAGTTGGCCGTAAGACGAGAAGACGAAGTATCACAAGTTGCAGCTCAGACCTATGAAACAGGCCATTAGTTCAACTTCGCGGCTCTCAAGGTACCCGCCCACGTTGGAAACAAGACATGTAGGGAAATGATTTAAGTCTGGTCCACGAACGGGAATTCAGTCAATCGATTTGTCGAATTGGCGCCGGCGTACAGGGCCTTGCGTACAGTCACGGCCAAACGCCTGTCACAGTTAACTGGGCCCACATCCTCTATAATTGCCCCATTTTCGTTGCTGACGCCCAGAAGAACGTTGAAATCACTGACGGCTAATTGCCCCCACCCCCTCCCCGCCCTTTCATTGTGGTTTCTTAGCCCTCACGACCTGATGACAATTGACAGTTGATTGGTGTACACACTATAATTAGCCCCCTTTTTGTTTCTGATTCTTATCTCTGACGATGGACTGCTGTGAGAGTTCGAAGGCTCAGGATAATAAACAAAATGATCCGGTGCTCGACCATCCTTCTTCCTTACCTATGCAGACACCTGGAACGCTAACGTTCTTCTTTATTTGTGTGCTATTGGTCTAGTATCCAATAGCAGACACGTACTAGAAAACCCTATATGGATTGGTGATATCCTCTCCCTCCCCCCTCCCCCGGACGAAAGGACGTCGAGGCTGAAACTACACGTAATTTAGATGGTTTTATACTAAATACCAGTGGAATAAGGTTTAAAATTACGGTTTATTTTGGCGTAAGAACCTGAATGAGGTATGCTTCCTGCAAGGTAATGCAGGGCAACCCTGTTAGGATAACCCAGCACGTCATCCAGACAGATAGACAGTACGAGGTCACGTGAGGCCAGTCAGGCGCATGCAGAAAGGGCCAAGTCACGCGACCTTCAAAGGGTGGACATTAGGCCAGGACAAAGGAATCACACGCGAAGCGAGACTGTCCCGGAGCCGAGTTGCTGCTATC